ATTTTCATTATACACTGACTTTAGCTGGAAAATAAGTGAAAACTGGTGAGCGTTGAACAACAATTTATTCTCAGACGAAACAGTACATATCTATTACGAAATATGGCAAATAACTCTAGAAGCTTTATAACTTACTGTGAACATTATGCTTACTCATCACTGAACTGAAATCCCATTAACTGAGTTTCTAAATTTTAATCAATTCATTATGCAACTATTTTACTCCCAACTAAACTAGCTCTATATAAGTTACGTTTTACCATTGAAAGTCAGTTTTCAGTGTTTAGAAGGTTGTAATCCTTAAGTGAAATGATAGTTTCATGTCAACTTTAGATAGTAATAAAAATTAAATATGAAATATACAGCAAACAATCATATTTCCCTGAAAAAATCCTTGAATGCAAAAAAAATTCTTTCATTTTTCAAAGCACTAGATATTAGTCATTTACGATCTACATTACTATACTGTAGTGAAGGAGAACACAGGTGAGGACAACCGAATTATATTTGACACAGTTACCGAGTTACTTGATAAAATAGAAAAACCATACTATAATACTTAATTTGCAAATGTTCAATAAATGTCTCGAACTTCGTTCTTCTTGCATTTCCATACTAATTTCTTTCTATTCCTGTTCTTCCTTCTTGATCTTCACCATCTTCTGCTACCAGACATTACATTCCTGACTCGCGTCATATACGACTTATATCAATATAAGTAGCACGCACCACAATACTATTGATAAATATAACTTATGTTAAATAATAAATAAAAAGTAATAATTTTCAGTAATTAAATGAAGGTACATTTTCTTAAGTACTAACATATAAGACAAGCTTAATAAAATCCATTCAGTAATAAAAATAATAATGATAAATATGGGTCACTTTTTATCGATTAAATAATCAGATAAAGAGAAAACAGTAAAATAAATTAATGAGTCAAAAGAAATTGATTAAATTATTCCCAGATTGATCATTCAATGGATTTGATAAGTAAATGTGAACAAAAAACGAATGAGTTCGTGTGTAGAAGATGGATAACAAACAACAACAAAAAACACCTATATATTCATATCATGATTTGAATTAATTAACTTCAAGGTAATTGATAATAACAATCTATGGAATAATTCAATGAACCACTTCTTAACTATTTTTTGAAGTATGAAATATATATATATATATATATATATATATATATATATATATATGTAGGATTATGAAAGAGTATTGTTAAGGGATCCCCAGTGTCTTAAAACAATTATAACTTAACAGCTTATCAAAACCTACAGTCATCAATTTGGAGGGAAAAGAATATAAACGAAGAACAAAACACAACTGATTATATGTAGTACTAACGATAATAATAACAGGTCATGGAGTCTATCGGTTATTTATACTACTTTACAGTAATACTATATATAACATTGATTCATATTTTTATATAAAGTAGGTTTTCTTCTGATAAAAATCATCCACTTCAGCTACAAATCTTCTCCACCATCTCAGGTTTTCTTCATTTCGTTTTCAATGCTCTAAATTTTCCACTTGCTTAATTTAACCCCTTAACACGAAAGCATGTTTGACTTGTGTAACTCAAGTAGATTTATTCATTTCGAGCATATTTTTCTTCATGAACTGGAATAAAGTAGAAAAAATATGATTCCTACAAAGTACTTGTTATCTGTTTCATCTTAGTTCATATTATTGACAAGTTTCAAATCTAGATACAGTCATTATAAAGCAGTCAATTTAATCTTATTCCACCTTATTTTTATGAATGATAACTTTAGTCATATTCAATAATAGATATTAGTCGAATTTTGATGTCGTAATTTTGGATTTATTAAAATGTACCAACGAAAATCAGTGCTTTAAACACTACATATTTATTCATTAAATATACAATGTTTTATACTGGTTACTTTATGCTTAAATAAACTTCTGTGTTGTGATTTTGTTAACAATCCAGTATAAAAATCTAATGTACACTGTAGTTGATTGTTTAGAGATAATGATATGCGGATGTGTTTACTTTACCCATAAATGTAATAGAATGTGTCTTTGACTATCTTCATTTAATCCTTTCCCTTGTGGTTATATGTTTTTTCGAAAGTTCCTCTTTCGATTTTATGTGAATATTTGAATTTCAAACAGCTACATTGTAATGAACAAGGACACAAGTGGGGACAATCGAATGTATTTGACACAAAATTACAGGACTTACTAATAAAAATCTAACAATCATAAAGTAAATGCTTAATTTGCAAAATATTCACCAATTGTCTCAAAATCACTCAGACATCATTGTTCTTGCATTTTCATACAAATTGCATTCTGTTTCGATTCTTTATTTTTCGATCTTCTTGTCTCGCAGCTGCCAGACCTTCTGTTCACGACTAACATCATATACTACTTATGTCAATATAAGTAGCACACACCACAACATTAATATAATTTCTAATTTTATTTAAAGAGGAATAGAATAAATTTCAAGTTATTTCACTATGATTCAAATGTACTAATCGTTTGACCCATTCATATTCTGAAGTGATTTGTCCATTTTATTAAGATGAGAGCGAGGAAAATGTTATTGATTAGACAGTACACCTTTTTTACTTTTCTCTAGCTAACACTTACCACAACATGTGCCTAAATTCATGCCCATTCAATTCTATCCATACACACGCTTGTACGCACTCAAATACATAAACACTCACAAGTATATATATAGTACGTAATCAAGTGGTCGAAGTATATATATGAATATGTGCACAAATACTATCATGAGAATGCTATCAAATCTTCACTAACTAAACTAATATCTATATTTATATATATATATATATATATATATATATATATATATATATATATATATATATATTTAATTTATAACTTAAATGTAGAAAATTTTATTTCTTTTGTATATCATACTTAGATATACAAACAAGTTCTGTTTTTATGTATAAACTGCTTGGGAAGAATTAGATTTCAATGGTAGATTATTAACTGATCTATTGAATTTCGATGTGTCTATGGTCGTCAAAAATGAATCTGTTTTACGTAAAACACTATACATAGATACATATATTGATTAGTAAACAGAAATGTTTATGTTCTTTTTTTGGTTTTTTTAAAAAAAATGACAAAGAATTTTGATTGTTTTCCATTATAACACTAATGGTAATATTCATATTATTCTATTCAATAGAAAACGTTTAAATACCAGAAAATAGGTTAATCATCTTAAAGGTTATTTAGATTAATTATAAGTATTTATATGATTATAAATAATAAAACTAATTTACCAATCGACTAACTAGTTATTTAAAATAGACTATTGTTATAACTTTCTCTCTTATTACAATCCAGCTATTCCTATTGCTTAGTAGTCTTGGACAATAATTCACTCGACAAGTCCTCAAATCAGAACACGGATGAACAGGAAAAAAATTATATACCAGATAACAAGGTTAGATGGAAGTAAGAAGGACAATAGGAGAAATATTAGTATATTTATAGTTTTTTTTACGCGAGAAGATTCAAGTTTTCCAAACATCGGCTAGCTCTGATTGGTTAAGAATTAGCCAATCAGCGTGTGGCAAAGCAGTCGTGCATTGAGTATGCTTTAATCCAATCTATGTCGCGCTAACAATTATATTCAAATGTATTATCTTTAAAGTAGCAGAATATATAGTTGAAATTAACTCCATTAGTAGAAAAGTAGTTCTAAACTAGGACTGTTATATTTTTCAGCAATGAAATAATATTCATCATAAAGAGTCTGAATAAAGATTTATAGTTCAAATGAATAAACTCGTTAGAGTTTAATTTTCTAATTCGTATATTTTAACTATCAAAGATCGACTATGAAATCATTCAGATTATAGTGAACTAAACACTGTTGAACTGTACACGATAAACGAAAATAAATAATAGGAAGTGTAAATAATAAATGTAAGTAGATGGTTTTACTTGTATTGATAGTAATCTCTTTAATGATTCAATCAATATCATACAATGATATTATACTTGGTGTTTATCAATCAAACATAATCTGTTTACAATTTATTACAATAAATAATGAAGCATCTAGAAATATTTAGCCGTTACAAAATGTGTCATTCTCATGATGAATACCCTACATTTGACGTTTATAAAATAGTGAATTATAATTACAACATTTTTTAAACAAAGATGGATAGTGGCTAGCAGTGGAAAAAGCTTGTGACTTAAGGTTATATTGAGGCAATCCGCATAGGATGCACATATGCCAACATGAAACTGATCAATTGAAGTCCCAAAATAACAATGGGAAGATACAAGTAAAACAACACCGAATGAATTATGATTACAACAGTTTCTCAGTAAAATGAACTTCAATGTTAAAATTTTATGTGTAATATCTATGTAATGTACTAAAATACATTAAATCCCATATCTATATATAACCGTTGAATACTGAGCGGTGTACAATAATTTACAATCCAACATAAAATTCTGAGATAAATACTTATATTGTACATGAAATATGGTTGATATGAAAATTTCAATTATGAGTAACACTATTAACAGTTAAGTGAAAATATGGTTGAACATTATTGGAATAATAAGAATGGTGTAAACTATTTTACTGGTTGAAATCATGATTCAATTGAAGCTAGACCACCATGCAAAACCTGCAAACACTGGTTAAGCGCCTAGCGCAAGATTGATAGGTCCTAGGTTCGAATCTCGCGGAGAGCCAGATCGTCGATGCGCACTGCTGAGGAGTCCCATACTAGGACGAAACGGCCGTCTAGTGCTTCCAGGTTTGCCATGGTGGTCTAGCTTCAGTTGACTCATGATTTCAACCAGTGAAATTTCTAAAAAAAATCTCCACAAAACCCATTCTGATAAATTATTTTAATCTGTACAAAAATCTATGTATATCATGAAATAGTAAGTAGTTAATTTACTTAATACCTTAATATATATTTTCATTTAAATTTCAGATGTTTTTAGTAATAATAACAATGATAATGAATATATCAAAAGACAATATCCATTAACAATTAAACGATATTTAACAATGACAGCTGAAAAATATCTATGGAATAAATTAATGAACGAAATGAAAACTGGTGGTTTACAAAAATTGATACATCCAAGAGTACCTACTGCTTTAAGATTTGGTTAAAGAAGATATGAAATAAAAATTAAATGAAGCTGACAACATATAGTTTGTTTTTTATTAATTTATGAATTAATAAATTTGAAAAGTTCTTTTATTTAAATAATTGATATTTATTATCTTTGAATGTAGATAAATGAAAGAGAGCGCTAAAAAATAAGTAGACAAATGATTTCAATCTGTGAAATTTCTAAGATCTCCACAAATCCCTTCTGATAATAATCATTTGCTCACTAGTGACTGACTTCAAGAGATACTCCTGGAGTTCTAGTGAGAAGCGGTTACCAGTGGAGTTCAACCAGGTCTGTTGTTAGATATCAGCTCACTGAAGACAATGGTATACGGTGGCGCAACTTCGTGGATTGATTGAAGTTAGACATTAACACGAATGGATACCGACTCAGTGGTCTAGTTGGTCAAGCGCCTGGTGCGAGTCTTGTAGGTCCTCGGTTCGAGTCTCGCGGGGTGCGGGATCGTGGATGCGCACTGCTGAGTCCCATACTAGGACGAAACGGTCGTACAGTGCTTCCAGGTTTTCCATGGTGGTCTAGCTCTAATTGACTCGTGATCTAAACTACTGAAATATGTATTTGTATGATGCTCAGAAAGTCCAATACTTAGAATGGAAGTTTATCTATTTATCTATCATAGAGTAAGAATTAAGTATTAAACGTATCAAATGAACAATTCGTATATGACGGACAAATTAATGGGTTTTTTTATCTTAGTTTAATTTGAAGAAATCACTTTATTAGCTATGAGCAAGTTGAAAAAGTAAGAATGCTCAAAAAAGTCAATTATTTTGATTAATTACTACTATAAAATCGATAATAAGTTAATAGCTGAATTCATGAGTCGATTTATGCACTGAACGGCTGTCTCGTCCTAGTATGGAACTCCTCAGCAGAGTGCATCCATGATCCCGCACCCCGTGAGATTCGAACCCAGGACCTATCAGTCTCGCGCCAGGCGCTTAACCAACTAGACCACTGAGTCGGCATCCATTCGTGTTAATGTCTAACTTCAATCAATCCACGAAGTTGCGCCACCGTCCACCATTGTCTTCAATGAGTAACTACCTCACAATAGACACGGTTCAACTCCACTGTTCACAGCTTCTCACTAGAACTAGGAAATACCTCATGAAATCAATCACTAGTGAGCAAATGATGATTATTATCAGAATAAGGATTTGTGGATATGATAATAATTTAATCGTTAAATTAATGAGTCGATTTAAACAAACTCTTTTCAGTTATTAAACACATACCTGATCACTAACTGTTCAATTTTATATTATACTTAAACCAAACATGGAATTTACTATACATCAAATTTTTACAAAAAAAAGCGAGTATAATGAATCGAATTATTTCTAACTTTTTTTAACTCATAATCTGAAAATGTAAAGAATAACAAATGATAATTGATTGTTTAAGTGAACCAAAATGAGATTCGTCAAACATATTTAAATACAACGAAGTATTCATTCAAATAAACAGCATGATTATAAATTTAAATAAAGATACATAAAATTGTTATTCAATTTAGTATCAACCAACTGACACAATCGTCATATTAATGAATATAGAAATTGTTAGTTGAAGATTTTATACTACTTTATATATGACTGAAATCTGTCAATTAAAATTAATCTAGACAGTTTTATTATAAACTGCTTAATATATTTATAATATAAAAGTTTCTAAGCCTGAAATATGATCTAACTGATATGCTACTGTTTAATATAACAAGTATAATTATACTTATATTGAGTACTTAAACAACATTCAAATCAAAAACTGCTAGGGTTGAGGTTATCACGAGTTCACTTAATCTGAGAACCAGAACAAAGACTCAGTGACCAAAGATCAGTAAGCTAGCTATTCGATGCGTCCCACCCCCGCTAACTAGAGGGAAAAGTCCAAGCTTGGAATGGGAAGTATATTCTGATTATTTTTATCGGGGCATAACAAAAACAAAACAAAAAAATTTATAAATAACGTCTTTGACTATGAAATTTGGTGTTGGCAGCTTTTAATATAATGGACTACATCGAATGTATGTACTAAATTATGTAGTTTTAAAGCAAAGAGAAGTGAACACATGAACAGATTTCTAAGTATATCCCAAAAAATTCGCTGCTCATGTAGTGAAGGAGAACACAGGTGAGGACAACCGAATTATATTTGACACAGTTACCGAGTTACTTGGTAAAATAGAAAAACTATAATAATATAATACTTAATTTGCAAAATGTTCAATAAATGTCTCGAACTTCGTTCTTTTTGCATTTCCATACTAATTGCTTTCTATTCCCGTTCTTCTTTTCTTGATCTTCCCCATCTTCTGCTGCCAGACATTACATTCCTGACTCGTGTTATATACTACTTATATCAATATAAGTAGCACGCTACATACTCATAGCCATCAAATTTCTCAATAGTTTGTTAAACGATATTTTTTTCTAAAATAGAGAATGAAATTCAATTAACATAATTACTAAGTAAAATAATGAGATTTTATTGTGTTTTGTTGAATTATCTATTAATAAATGACTTAAACCCACGTCATAAAATCACAATGAATAAGTTATTAATATATCACTGCTACGGTAATTCAACAACCTCCAAGATTTATTTTTGTCTCATTACTTAATCTACTTTAATGAACATATTTCAGTCTAACGTGAATTTATCATTTAAAAATTCTTTAAAGATTTCAAAGTCATTGAGTGATATATTAAAATAAATAGTAATATTGAATGTGATTATGTACGATATAGGAACTACTGAATTTGTTTAAAACACACTTTATTGTCTTTGAATAAGTGAACGATTGAACAGAGAAGAAAGATGTAGACAAATGTAAACGTACTATACTAAAGTCACTAATAACACAAGCAGCAATCATGGTTTTATGTAAACACCATATATACGATATTCATTTTCCAGTTATATCATACACAAACGCTTTCATAGTCATCAGTTTTGGTTAAGCGATATGATGTTATTGTTTAAATTGTTACGTAAATTTAATGAGACAACTAAAAATTAAGGTGGATGACAAAAAATCATAAAAGAATTATATATTCACTTGTTATCTATATCAAGAAAATTGAACATTTAACATGCTAGCATATTGTAACTAACGATATGTTACAAAGTGATGGAAAGAAAACAATGATTTCCTTAATTATTTAAATGTAAAAATTGGTAAAACAAAAAACATACATGAAAATATATATATATACTACAAAATAAAAATGGAACCGTGAAGATATGGAAAAAAGATGAATACAAAAAGTGAAAAATACCGTAATTGAATAGAAATAAGTTAATAGGAGTATTAAATAGTGAGAGTAATCGTTTAGTTAAGAAAAGCACAACCAGAATGGAATCTGGCAGTTACTCAAGTTTATTTCACTTATACGAATGTCAGCAATCCTCGAGAGATAACAATGATCGGACACAAAGATCCTCTTAGCATCCTTCACTGACATGCTGTAAATCCGAACACTATTACTCATATCTATCAGACCTGTTTATAGAACATGAGCAATGGAAACGTTGAGGAGGAGCTGTGAGGATGGGCAACCCGACCTTACTTTTTTGAATGGAAGACATCCATTCCTTATGATGAAACTTCTTGAGGCCCAGCACGTTCTGGCACGTTGAAGTTAGTGTTCCTTTCAGCCCTTTCCGGTTATTTGCCGTAGAAGTTTCTTCGTATTTGAATAGATCCTGTAAGGCTTGGAAACTCTTGTTCAGAGTTATCTTGAATTCGTTGAGCTTGTTAGTATCTCGTAGAAAGACTGTATTGAACCTTTGTACTGCTGTTTGTTCAGTGCTTCCCTAGCTTCAGTTTCATCTTGGTCACAACTAAATGGTGATCTTTATCTATGTCAGCTCCTCTCCTGGTTCTCAAGTCTCCCATGGGACTGATTTTTTTTACTGATGCAAATATAATCTATCTGGTTCTCCGCGGTGTAATCCGGTGAGACCCATGTAGCTTTGTGTATGCGTTTGTATGGAAATATTGTGCTGCCTATAACCGATTTGTTGAATGCACATAGGTTTGCAAATCTTTTCCCATTCTCGTTTCTCTCTCCCAGTCCATGTCATTACATAATATCTTCATATCCGGTGTTGTCTGTTCTGACTTTGGCATTTAGATCTCCCATCACAATGGTGAGGTCCTTTCTTGGGCACTTCGCTATGATTAATTGCAGTCACTCGTAAAACTGATCTTTATCGTCTTCATTGCTACCATTGGTGGGTGCACAGTACTGGATAATATTCATTAGGATCACCTTCGTTTTGAAGAATGCGTTGGTGATCCTGGGTCTATGAGAATCCCATTCTATAAGTGCATTTTGTGCTTCTTTGGACAGCATCAAAGCAACTCCCTGAGTGTGTAGAGGATTTTCGTCTTCGTGACCGGACTACAGCAGCATCTCTCTCGTACCCAATCTTTGCTGTTGTTGTAACGGGTGGATTGCAGGTTAGATGCGCAGCGTATTTATCGATCGATTCAGTGACATGTAAACACGTAATAAACGACTTAGAGTCCCGATTGGCCCTGCTTCCCTGTTGAGTCCAGAACACAAGTCACAGCCTCTGAGATATGAATCATTATATTTCAGACATACTCTATTTATATACCAAACAAACCAACCACATCGTACCATAAAATAGAAAACAACATTTACACAATATTTAACAAGTGAAACAAATATCGACCAATAGGGAGTGTACATTCAAAGTCCAAGGTCACCGTTAGACTTAACATGATAACTATTGGTGTATTCCTCTGAATCCCTAACAGCTGTCCAGCCTGAGTCCAATAGATTTCGCTGATTCCGAGAACCGTCAAGTTGTATCTCCTCATTTAGGTTGCTATTCGACTGGTCCTCCCGCTCTACCACATTGTTCAGACATCCCAGATACCTATATTAATTTTTGTCATGGTTGTTAGAGGAGACATCAGCATCGTGACTTCCAAAG